AAAAGTTACTAAGAGGGAAACATGGAGAGTCAGACACGTTTTCAGCCTGAATTATAATTGACTAAATCAATGGCTGGCAGGACATCAGAGTGAAAGGACGTACAGTGAGTTGGGAAGATTTGGGTTTGATTCCTGACTCTACCCAGAATTTGCTGTGTTTCCTTAAGCTAGTTGCCTACGCAGACATCATTTTGAAGATATGGTCATTTGAAACATGTCAGTACACACACTCCATTAAAATGAAATCAAATCTGCCTCCCTTGGGGTGTGAACTAGCCTGCGTGACCATCTTCAACTACTTAAAAAGCAGCAAAAATGAGACTGACTTCCAATGCTAGGTAGTCAAATCCAACCTGGCTCTCACCTATCTCACTCTGCCTCATGGGATGTAGCCCCTGAGACCCAGGCTCCAGGCTGTGAGAAAGTTACGCAGCCACGTGGAAGGACCACATGTCCAACTGGGGTCCCAGCCATTTGCCCATCTGAAGACGCCAGCCCACAGCCAGCACCCACTGAGTGAGTGAGTGGTGACCCCAGCCCCAGCCCCAGCCCCAGGTGATGCAGAGTGCAGCAGAGATGCTCAGGGCCTGCTGGACCCTGTCCAAGCTGCAGATGAGGGCACAACGAACATTACCATGGTTTTAAACTGCTTACACTGCTAAGTATTAGGGTGACATCATGGCTGACATCCAGAACAGGAGATGAACCTTTTCTCTGGCTACCTGAATCCTTTTTAAATTAGTTTATTTCCTTCCTTAAGGTCTTTCATTATTTCCTTGTTCCTTCTGCAGGTTATTGTGGAATGCAGATGCGAGTTAAAGCCAGAGAGGCATGGGTCTGAAACAGTCTCCTGCACTTCGTAGCTACAGGACTTCAGAAGAGCTACCTAACTTCTTCGAGCTTCCCCTTCAAAAAAAAATGACAATAACACAAATTTAATTTGGCCATGGAGAGGACTGAACGAAATAATATTCAAAATACCAGGCAAACAGAAGGAGCTCACAAGGCAAGAGCCAATCTCACCGGCAGCAGGGATGACGTCAAACAGTATGTGCTCTAGGAACCCTGAGCTTCTTTATAGATTCTTGCTGCACATGAAGTAGAAATAGATTTATTAATGATGTTTCAAATGTCACCCTGGTATTTTGTGTTTTGGATGTCCTGGTAGAGTTTTGTGGTTTTGATTATGGGGCTCCTATGATAAGAATTGTTTTTAGTAGTATGGTGACAACCCGATGCAGTGAAAAGACCATGGACTTGGGGATAAGTTCTACCCACATAAATATAAATACAAATATAAAAATAAATATAAATAAATAGAAGTATAAATATAAATATATATATTGTGTGTGTGTGCGCGTATGTGGAGGGAGAGAGAGGGGAGGGAGAGACAGAAGTTGGAAAGGAAGCAGGGAAGGAAGGAAGGAAGAAAGATGGGAGGAAGAAAGGGAGGAAAGAAGGAAATAAAGATATCTGGAAGGGATGTGCTGTTAGATGGCGGATCTCAGCTCCCGGACGGAGGCCTTTCAGATCTCTGAGTTAGGGAGGTAGAGGGGCAGCAGTAAAATGCAGGCAGAGCGGCCAGAACGACCATCTCAGCTCCGTGTAGCTGGGGCAGCAGGTACAAAGGGCTGTAGGTGGTCGCTAGGCCCTTGGCTGGCAGGCCCAAGCTAGTCTGCGGGGCCAGAGCTATAAGACGTGGTTCCTGCTCTCCAGAGGCTCACAGCTGTTTCTAGCTCACCAGCCGTAGGGAGCGACCTACAACATCTATGTGCTTGGCAAATTCGGGCTACCTGGTGTAGCCTGACTTCAATAAACTGGCGCTGGCATTTTGATTTGAGATAGGAAGAGAAAGTAACCCCTTGCTTGCGTGCTCCAGTGACCTTCCCATGCATGATGACTCACATCCGCCGTGCTAGGACTTGGGTGGCCTGGTCGGGACACCACGAACCTCACCTTCCCATCACCCCTCATTGCTCTCCGCTGCCTTCCTGTGGCCACACTGGCCTTCCTGCTGCTGCTCAGCCTGGAAGCTTCTGTCCCAGCCCTGACATGTCCCACATCCTCCCTCTGGGTCTCTGGGAGGGTGCCCTCACTGGGCTCCGGGGTCCTTCCCACCAGCCTACTTGAAATCAGACTCCCTGCGCCTGGTGGCTCTTGGCCCCTCATTCTTCTTGATGTCTCTGCCTCTCCTTTTCCATGAACTGATTCTGTGTATGTGTGTGTGTGTGTGTGTGTGTGTGTGTGTGTGTCTGCACACACGTGTGTTTGGTTTGTTTCTGTCCTCCCTATTACAATCACAGAGACAGAAACACTGTTTTTTCACTGTTTAATTTCCACTGGCCAAAACAAAGTGTGTGGCACCTAGGGGTAATCCCTTATCATGTGAAAGAAAGTGTGATCATCTGTTAGTTGGTCTTGGCTGGTACAGGTACTGGGGACAAAGAGCTTTAAGTTTCATCGACCCCAGAGTACTGTGGAGTGTTATTCCTTTTCTATCTGTAATTTGGCTTTTCTGCATCACAGTTCTTCACTCAGATTGCTAAGTCAAAGCATCCATTTTGTGCACATCGGATGTGGAACATGACAGATGGCCGTGACGGTTTATCCACTCAAGAGCATTCACGGATCTGTTTGGACCCACAAAGATTATATGATGAGATAGACCATTACAGAATATATATTGCATAGCATATATTAAATAGTGAGTAAATAAGGAATGTATATTTCATTCATACTGTAGTGTACACACATATGTGTCTATGTGTGGTCTAAACGGTATATCACATATATATGGCCAGTTAGCTCTATGCTCACTAAAACATCATTAATTAAGGGAAAAGAGGACTTTGAGAATTTTAGAATACTCTAAAACAAGCAGGATTTTGATGAGTTTCAAATCCATTGGCACATACTAGGCATAGCAACTGATTCTAAGTGGAACCACTCACGTGCCAGGATGAATAAACAAGCAGAAGCCCAAGACTGGTAGGGAGACGGGGGCCCTGGAGTGCCCTAGGACACTGCATCATGAGTTTTGTTGAAGACCTTAAGCAATCCTCACAACAAACCCCTTTGCATGACCGATTTGCTTGGCAAGTGGGTAGACCTGGAGGTTGTCATTCTAAGGGAAGTAAGTCAAACAGAGAAAGAAAAATACCATATGATATCACTTATACGTGGAATCTAAAAATGATACAAATGAACTTATTTACAAAACAGAAACAGACTCAACAGACATAGGAAATAAACTTACAGTTACAAGGAGGAAAGGGGGGTGGGAAAGGATAAATTGAGAGGTCGAGATTTGCAGATACTAACTACTGTATATGAAAGATAAACAAATTCATACTGTGTAGCACAGGGAACTATATTCAATACCTTGTAGTAACCTATGGTGAAAAAGAACATGAAAATGAATATATGTATGTTCATGTATGACTGAAGCATTTGTATGCCAGAAATTGACACAATACTGTAAACTGACTATACTTCAATAAAAAGACATATGCAAATAAAAAATTCCATAGTCAGAATGAACATAATCCCGATTTTCCTAAAAATCCACCAAAACCAATCCTTGGGAAACCAGAGGGTAGGAGGGCTTTCTAGACACAGTCACACTGCAAACGGTGCTGTGAGGGCCACACACAGGCCTGACAGCCCAGAGACAGAGGAAGAGGGACAGATGCAAACACTGACTCACGGCAGGGCCGTCGGAGACGGACGCTGGAGAAGGGACAACAGACAGCGCCTCCGCCTCCACCCACATCGTCCCTGTGAGCACGGCGGAGCACAAGGAGGCACAGCAGTTGATTTCCACAGTGATAACCCTGAGTCACCAGCAACAGGTTACGTTTCATATTCAGAACTTTCTGTTCAAGAAGGTAAGGGAGCGTGGACTCCATTGGAGAAAGGTTTTCATTTCAGAGAGTTAAAAATTCTTTGAAAACTCTTTTGGTGCCTAAAGGGATCAGGGATAGTAATCTGGAAAATTCACTTACACGAAACGACACCTTCCCTCCAGATTCTAGATCAGGGAGGCGGTGGCTGGCAGTTCTTTGTCGGTATTTCACTGGCTAATGTTCTCAAACCTTCCAAAATTCCTGACTCTCAAGCATCGGCTCCTCCGTTCCTTTAGGCTAAAGATTCTGATGCCCTTTCCAGGCTATTCCACATCCCTGAGGTACTCCACCTTTTAATTTTTTCTGCTGCAAAACAAATGATGAACTGATACTCGCAAAGATTCCTGGCTCCCAGAGCGTGCATAAGCTTTGACCTAGCCCTCCTAGCATTTTGCCAAACCATTTGTGGTTTTGGTTAGCAATCTGATTTTTTTTTTTTGCAATCCTTGCATAACTCAATCAATGATTCACTCCAAAATAATAATAATAATAACCATAGAAGAAAAATAAAGTTAATATAAGTTTTATCTGAGAGCAAACTATGTTTTTAAAGCATCATTTTCATTAAACCCTGCACTTTTCAGGTAACATGAGCCCTGCAAACACACGGGACTCTACCTTCCTGCCCTACTAACCTCCCTGCCAATGCTGCTTCCCTTGCTTCCTTTGCCCCAGGGATAACTCATTGCTCTTTGGTGGATGTGCCGAAATCCCTGGTGCTTCCTCTCTGCCAGGAATACCAGGTCCACCTCCACCCTTTCTATGTCTAGCTCAAATGCTCTTTCTCTGGGTTCCAAGGCTCTCAAGAAACTTCCCATTCTCACAACTGTTGCCAGATGGGCATGATCACTGTTCCTCTCTTGAAGATGTGGGAAAACACCTTGAGAGGCTACAGGACCTCCTCTAGGTAACACCCTGGGTACCAGGAGTCCCCTCTGAGCGGCGTTTCTCTCCACTGCACCATGAACCGCTGTAGCTGCAGCCCCCTTGCCAGCCACTCCCCTCTTTGATACTCCAGGGTTTCAGGGCCCATCTGTCACACCACGGTGGCCCCACGTGGCCCACACCAAGGGCACAGGCAGGGGAGGGCCTTACCGGGAGTGTTGAGCAGACGGGACCTCCTGCAGTGGTAGGACACCTCCTGCTCACAGTGCTCCGAGCCATCAATCACGGCTTCCAGCTGCCCCAGGCTGCCTCCGTAGTCCAAGGCCATGGAGTAGGGCTCCTGGGCATCGGCGCCTCGCACGTGGGTCAGCTCGGTGCTGTTGTGCTGCACTGATGTCCAGATCTTGTCCTCTGCCCAGAAAACACAACCCAAGGAAGGTCAAAAGAGGATCATGCTTATATACCTTCATAAAGCTGGAAAAAATAAATAAATAAAAGAGGATCGGGCAAACAGAGTGATGGGCAGGTGGTTCAGGTGCGATAATTCAGGGCCACCTGGGTGCCCTACTCAGGCAAGGAATTCAACCAGAGACTTTTTGCCTCTCATAGCTCTCCACCTAGAGTTAGTATAAGGGCTAGTTATCCTAAGACCTAAATCTGGGCAGCCTTTGCACCACAGGCTTGATGCTAAAGCACTTAATGTCCGTTATCTCATTCAGAATCGGCACGATCGAAATCAGAAAGAAGTCGATACTGCCGTGACAAAAACGAGGGGAAAGTGAACAAGGAGAATCAGGCAGATTCCCCAAGATGACACCGTGAGTAATTGACTAAGCAAGAGCTGGAGCCCAGGGTGTCCGGCTCCAAAGCCCATTCTTCCAGATCCTGATGCACACACTTGCTCATGAGAGAAATACTAGAACTCGGATAACTGCCCCTGAGAGCTACAAGTACCACGTTGAAAATAAGACCCATACCCAGAAAGTATCTGTAAAGTCCACATCATAACAAGGATGAGACTGTGTGAACCACAACGGACTTGCAATGCACTTAACTGCATTTCTTACCATTTATTCTCCATGCTACCTCTACTGGCCAGACCTGTTTTAAGAGGTTTACATTGAAATAACCAGCAGAGATGAGCACCTTTAGATGAGGGAGGGAGAACACGTTTTACTTACTACAGGTAAGAACAGAAGGTAAAGAAGGGAGAGGAATTTTAGCTTCAGAACTTGAGAGATCTGACTCAGAGACCTATTCTACCAATAGCAAGCTCGGACAAGTCACTTGACTTTTCTGGGGCTCAGTTTTATCATCAGTTAAAAAAAAGAAGTTATAAAGTTGCAAAGCAGGATCTGGGAGGCATCAGACATTCTGGAATAATGAGCCAGACGAAAACATTTCCTGCAATTGGACCTAGAATCTAATTCTGAACATGCTCACAAATCAAGTGGAGGAGGAAATGGGAAAACGGAAAAGCTTTCATTGTCTGAGAATCTTGCCCCTGCGTGACAACATCATGACTCTTCATAGAGTCTCGGAGCCGAAAAAGAACGGAGCACAGACATATGGGATCCTCTCCTCTCTCACCCACTTGGTTTTGCAAACAAGGAATCCAAGGTCCACAAAGTAAAGACATGACTTGAAACACATCTATTAGGCAAGAATGGTGAACATGTACAATGCAGGTAACCACAATTTCTAATTAGTACAACTGTTGGCCATGAAAAAGAAAAGAAGAAGGAAAAACTGGCAACTGAGACCCTAGTTTCAATACTTTCTCCACCTTAACTCTATATGACTTGGGGTAAATAACTATCACCTGGTCCTTTCAATATGTTAGAAATATATACCAATGTGTCAATAGATTAGAAAGAGGAGGAAGAGAAAACTTGGTTTCAATTATCTCCATTTTCCAACTCCTAAAAAGGGAAATATTTCTTGTAGCATCAAATGGAACTCTGCTCAAACATTCTGATTCATCTTAACACTGTTTCCTCAAACCAGCCCACTGATAACCCACATCTCCGACGTTTAATGGAGGCAGTTACATTGTCTACAAAGCCTGAAAGAAGTCAGAATGGAGGTTATTGGATTTTGATTTGAAAGCAAAAATTAGACATGACTCAGGGAGGTAAAAAATAATAATGTCGCACCAGTAATTAACCCGAAACCCCCCAAAGTGCTGATGCCAATAAAGACACGTGTGGATCAAATAACCAAAAAAAGGGAATTGTTCAATAATGCAATACTACAGAGGCAGAGATAAAGATGGACAATGTGGAAATGTTCACGGTGCTTAGAAGAAGTAAACGAAAACCCAGTCTAATCTCTAATAATCAATGCTCTGCTACTGCCCCTACGCTAGGACATCTCTCATATATTATCTCCATTACTCATAAGAGTCACGGCAGGTATCAGTGTAGATATAGATAAAGGCATAGATTAGATACAGATACAGATGCAGATGTCAATATAAAGATGTAGAGACAGATACAGACAGATGTAGATACGGATGAAGATACAGATGCAGATGCAGATATAAATATAGATACAGAAATACGAAGGGGAGAGAAAGTAACCTCTTGTCCCGTCTCAATGTGTCCAATCCATCTGCTTCCCAAAGTGGTTCCCCCAGCACTGTTAAGTCATATGAATCTGCGTTTCCTTCCCAACACACACCGATTTTCACGTCCATGTATCCATTCATCTGACGGATCATACATTTCTTAATTGATCTGCTTTTTCCTTCACTAGCTAATTTTACCAAAATCATAGTCTATCTTTGGCGAGATGGAAAAAGAAGCTATGTCCGAGAGACAAATCTTTTATCTTAAAGCCACACACACTGCCAACCCCACCTTCTGGGCCATGAGAGTGAATTACAGTTTGGCTGGTTCAACCATTGGCAGTTTTGACACAGGCAATATATAGAAGATACAAAGGAACGATCGAGAGCCCCCCAGTGCTCCCCACAAATCACTTAGCAGACATCGCAAGCCCTCCTTGCAAACAGTCTGACGACCAGGAGGGAGACAGCTACTGAGAATCTAGGGCCTCTTAGCTGGCTTCCATTTCCAAGATGCACTTTGTCCTCTCATTATTTTTCTCCTGGAAGATCACAACAGAGACTGAGAACAAGGAGACAACTGGACAGCATTTTTTCTCACTTCCTATTTTCTCTTCCCCTCTGTGGGTAGCAGTGCAGACTAAGCCCTGAACCGTAACAAAGCATTAAAGGCCAGGGAGCAATGCCACTCAGGAGAATCAGCTTTGATGGCCAGTGTCCCCGATGCTCAGAGTAGTATGCGGAAGCTCTAGGTGATGATCTTCCAGACAATTAAAATTCATTTTGAACAGTCTTTTAGGTAAATGGAGGGCGATTCATTCAGGGACCCATACATACTTGAAATAAAATTGGACCCACAAAGCTAAATGCTCAAGACGGCAAATTTAGTAAATGGACGGTGGAGCTCAGTGGACACAGGTCGGGCTCTGGAGTCCAAAGATCTGGGTTTGTGTGCCAGTTCTAGACTTACTGGTCAAACAGCCCTGGTGAAATTGTTACTTCTCTAAGGTTCACTTTCCTCATCAGTAATATTCAAAAAGCAGCGTGAAGGCCACCTGTGCAGGGTGGTTGCAAAGATTAAGTAAGGGGATTTGTATGAGAAGGTCCATTAGATAACTAAACTATTAAATGGATTAAATTTATCCATTAAATAGCTAAATAGCTAAGCATCCAACAGAAATATGTGTACCTTTTATACAAAGCTGTATAATATCTCTGTGCTAAACATTTATGGATGGGGCATGATTAGTGCTGAATAAATGTTCTATGGAATTGTTATAGCTCAAAAAAAGAGAAGAAGGTTCTGTCTTATGGAACTCAGCTATCAGTGGCTGATATTAACAACAGCACCACAAAGAAGGAGAAGTGAGTGGGGTCTTGTTCTCACAATAGCTCTTTCCCAGACCCAGAGTAAGCCTCCCAGACACCTAAAGGGAGACAACCTGAGCCCAGCCCTCTCTCAGCAGATCCACAGGGAAAACACATCAGATTCAAACATCCCAGAACAGGAAATGCTCCCCTCCTGCAGTTCTGTTAACTTGGACTTCCACATGAGGAAACCAACAAGGGTTTCCCTATAACTCAAGTAGCTCCAGGTTCATGCAGAGACAGAGGGATACATCATCTAAATGCCATAATTGGAAGAGCATCACAAAGTTCCCCTGGCTCCAAACACCACCCTCAGCCAGCCTGCCTCCAGCACCTGACCCTGCACCGCGGGACATCCATTGTAGGTTCTAAGTCCCCAGAGGTGCATTTAGGGCTTCCAGGTGCCATGAGCCAGCCGGGCTTTAGAAACTAGCCTATCTGATTGGGATCCGTGTTCTGCTACAGCTCAGCAGTGAGCTTTGGGCAAGTTAGATATGTCTCTGAATCTTCCACATTGGAAAATGGGATACTGACCCATCTTTTCATCCACAATAATATTATAATGATTCATTATCATATTTTATGTAGATAGACAACTGGTTGCCTGACATGCAAAAGAGTAAGGAGTCTATTCAATAGAACTTTTCTATAGCATTGGAGTGAGGACTGGGACCTCATGCCTTAGAGAGCTGGGGATAGGAAGCTCATCTGGCAAAAGAGGTGAATGAACAGAATGGACTGCAATTTCTTGTAACAGAGTTGCTGCTGTAGATAATAAATTATTATCGTCTTGTTCAATTATCTTCTCCCTCTGAAACAGCCCCATGAGTCTCTATATTTATTTTCATTCCTTGCATTTCCTGAAATGTCTTCATAGACCCAGAAACCTGGATTATTGCCCTTGATACGATGGTTCCTACCTAGTTCATTTCCTGGTATCTCTTCTATTGTGTATCACCATTCAGTCTCATGATGAGAAACAGAGCCTCGTCTTTCTGACTTACTCAAAGGGATGCAGGTACTGAGTTATCCAAGACAAATTCTCGGCTCCAAAGAGGACGGCATTTGAAGATTTTTGAACTGGCAGGAACCTATTCAATTCACTAAGCATCTTGTTAGCCTAAAGTAAGTTATTATGTATTTAAAATATTTGCTTTTCTATCCAATATACAGCTTGCAAATATTTTGTCTCATTCCTTAGATTGCTTTTTCAGTTTGTTGACTGTTTATTCTGTCCAGAAGCTTTTTAGTCCAATGGAGTCCTGCTTGTTGACTTTTGCTTTTATTGTTTGTGCTTCTGCTGTGAGAGCCAAAAAAAAAAAATCATTACCAAGACCAACATCAGGGGGCTTCCTCCCTACATTTTCTTCTAGGTTCTTAGGTCTTCAGGTCTTATGTTAAAGTCTTTAATCTATTTCAAGTTAATTTCTGTGGGTGGTATAAGATAGGGGTCTGATTTCATTTCTCTGCACAT